ACCAGCTCCCGTTATTGCTTAAAAACACGGGTTAAGCATTATAGATAAACCAGAAATTAAAGACTCAAATTGGCTACTAATTTTTTCTTCTTATTATTATAGACCTTTAGAGATTTTTTTAATCTACAATTTAATATATTATATTTATTTTTATATAAATAGTTTTCAAAATATAAGCATTTAACATTTTACAGATTCGAATGTTTCCAACCTTTGAAGCTCTTTATCTCAGGAACCAGGCATGAGCTAAAATAAATGGTTTTCTCATTTTTTATTTATCTAAATTAGTCCAGAAATTTATAACAATTTTAAAAGGGGTCGGCCGAATCTTGATCGATTTGACATGGAGTGACCCAGTGCCTATTTTGAAAAGTGCAAATTTTTAATTTTTTATCCATTTACGTAAAGACCTCTATAAAGTAGGCATATATTGTTTTTTGTTGCGTCCATTTATATTATAAAATTTTTTTTCATCTTTTTAAAACTATTCATTTCAAGTAACAACATATATTTAACGAGTTATCATTAATTTAAAAATTGAGGTTATTAAATTTCTAAATAATATTTAAAGAGCAGTGACGAAGCGTCAAGTTTACTACTAAGGAAGCGATCAAAAAAAATTTTATTTTTATTTTAGTCAAACTAAAACAATAAAAACATTAAGATTTATAAATAAGTGGTATTCGTCTTTATTTTTGAGTAAAATGATTAAGTACTGCATTATAAATGTTATCGCTAGATTTTAAAATTTTTTTTCAATCGAAATCAAAGATAGATTCGATAATCGATTTTAGCTCATCCTGTTTCTGCAATAAGATTTGATTCTTTTTAAAGATGAAAAACTCCTTTCTGCACCTTGATGTTGTTAAAGCCAAAGTTAAGATGAATTTTTATAATTTAAAAAACTCTTTAAAACTTTTCATCAAATCTGTGCATATTAAAAATTCAAGTATTTCATTAACATTCACACTACCTTTCGGTATCCAGCTTGTGCAAGTCAAAAAATTGAGAATAAGTGTCGTTTAAATTATCTAATAAATATTTTGGGAAATTAATTATTTGGAATTTACTAATATCTAACAATTCGACGAATTTAATATTATTTGGTGTAAGACATATGAAATAGAATTAATCAAATCATTTTGAATATTGCTTGATAGTACAATAAAAACTGCACTATTTCTAAATGATGTTTCAATAGTAAATTTTCTTCTGCGAGCAAATAAATTAAACAATATAATTTTCTCTATTTACTGAATTAGAAGATTCATCATCACCACGGAATACGAGCTCCTGAATTCCAAGAAAACATATAGAGTTGATCAATATTTTCAATATTCCTTTATTTGATTTGACTTTAGAATTATGCTGTTCGTTCGATTGATATTTTGCGCATCGAATCTATCATATTTTCAATACGATTTTAGCCAAATGTTTTTAATTGAATCATCGATTGCAAATAAGCGGTTGATTCTTTGCCGTTTAACTACCTTTGAAAAATTATTCATATCCGAAAATCCTTTATCATTCCAAACATATTTTTCCTTTGGGAATAATAGGCATGATCAACGATATAGAGAATTAGAAAATTCATATCCAGTGAGCCATTCATATTTTTCATATTTATCGATAGAAAAATTACGGATGCAAGTTTTAATTTTTTTTTAGTTTTGTAAAATTGGTTTTGGTCTTTCTTTTTCAATAATCAATTTTTTCGCATCAAAATTTCTTGAGCTAAATGATAATGTTAATAAATTTTCAATAATACAATTACAATTATTAAACATTAATTAAGGATTTTAAAAACGAAAAATTTTTTATTTTAAAAAAGTAAGGAAAAAAAATATTATATAAAAAAATTTCTTTCTCTTTTATATTTATTAAAAAAATAAGAGCATTTTTTTTATTTGCTTCCCCAATGCTTATTTTTTAATGGTAAAATTACACAATACTATGGCAAGATGTTCTCTTTATTTATAAAAAAATAAGCAATCGAGACCCTAAAGTACAAATGAAATTATGGTTAGAACATTATTCTGAGATGTTCAACTCCAATCATGTGATACTTCCTACGGAGAATGACCTACTCCCCACCAACTCAAATTTTACTATGTCGGAGATGGCTATACTAAAACTGAAAAATAACAAGGCGGCCGGACTTGATTGCATTAGAGCGGAACACTTAAAAGTCGCTCCAGATTATATCTCAGTGTTTTTACTGATGTTGTTTAATAAATTTTGGGTTTCCGGTGTTACTCCAAAAGAATGGAACATATCCTTTATTTGCAATTTCCGAAAAGTTTCCAATCCATCCACTTTTGATGACTATAGGGCGATTGCGCTGACGTCTATAGCATCTAAGGTCTTCATGGTACTTCTAAAAGATAGAATAGTAAACTCTACTAGCCCATTTATTATCAAATAACATTTGTGCTTACAGACCAGGTAGAAACATCCTTCAACCCATTTTAGCGCTAAAAATTACCTTACAAAAATGCTTCAGATATAAAGTACCTTTTTTCTTCATCTTTGTAGATTTTAAAAAAGCATTTGATTGAATCAAGCATGAAGTTCTATGGAATATCTTAACAGATAGTGGTGTGGACTTAAACTAGGTTATTATTTCTAGGTTTCTCACAATGCAAATTGAAAGTAAAATTAACATAGCCAATATTGCCCCTCCATAAATAAACTTTTATTTAATCGGGCATGGGCTTGACCTCTCCTTTTACTTTCCCATGGGCGTTTAAGTAAGGGGTTTTGCCTCTTGCGCGCACAGGTAACTGCGGCCTGACCAAAAAACGTGGATGGTTTTCTCTTATTTAGTTAAATATTTCCCCTTTTTATCCCAGTTAGATGGGCTCTTATAAGAGAACCAAGCGTTGCTCTGTTATATATATATCTTTGATATATATATGACATCTTAGGCCTAGTGCGCTTAATATCACGTATCACGTAAATTTGCTTCCCTCATTTATATTTTTTTTAACGTAGTAAAAATAATAGTAACTTTTTTAAAGTAGTAAAAATAATAGTATATATAAATATAGTAAATATTAATTTTTTAACGTTATAAAAATTATATTAATCTTTTTAACGTTATAAAAATTATATTAATCTTTAAGGTTATAAAAATTATATTAATTTTTTTAACTAAGTCAGTTTAGTTTATTTAGCATAGTACAAAGATTATATTAAGTTTATTTAGAAATTTTGTAAGAAAAATTTCAAGGGAAGCAATGCTTCCCTTGCTTCTATGGACGCTTCGTCCCTGTTAAAGAGAATGTTAAAAGATTTAATATTTCTAAACTGTTCGAAATATTTATAAATCCAATGAAGACATCAAAAACGCCATGCTTATACAATAAACAAACAAAGATAACATCTTATTTTATATCATAAATTTATTTTTATTATGTATGCAACCATTTAATGATAATCAGTGGCGTAGCCAGGATTTTATCAGGGGGGGGTGGGGGGGGGTTTAAAAATTTAACCACCCATTTTTTATGAACACTTATTTGATTATATCTTAGGCTATGTTAAAATTATTTTAAATATTTTCATGTAACAAAATTTTATAGATTTTATTTATTATATAAAAATCAGGGACGAGAACCTGAATCCGAACTCTCCCGAACCCTCAATATTTCGCTGAACCCAAAACCCTTTTTCTAAATTTAGGGTTCAGGGTTCAAGCTTTTTTTTAATTTAAAAAAATTTATATATTAATTTAAAAAAACATTTTTTGATCATTTTTTTCATGTAATTATTTTTGTTATATTTGGTAATTTTTTAAATTGTATTGTAGTATTATAATTATGATGATAAATTATTTTTATGGTGATACTAATTAAAATAAATATTTTTTAAAAAAAATAATGTTTCTGTTATTTAAATAAGTCATTATTTTCCTGATCTCCGAACCCTAAACCCACCTAAACCCGTACCGGGTTCAGAGATTTTTCACTGAACCCAAACCCAAATCCGAACCCATTTTTTTAGAAGGAGGGTTCTCGTCCATGATTTAAAAATACTTTAGCATAAATAACATTACTTTAGTATTTATTTTTATTATTTAAAATAAATTATACAGATTATAATATTAAAAATTTTGTTGTATAAAACTCTGTTTAAAAAAAATGTAATTTAACAATTACATAAAATATAAGTAATTCTTATGCAAATAATGGTATTTAAAAAAATATGACGATATTATCAAAATATAAATAATACACAGTACTTTGATTAAAAATAGAGTTTTAAAAGTTAATACAAAGATTATATAAATGTTATAACTAAGAATTCATTTTACGAAAAAATTTGATTATAAATATTATATATTAAAACTAATATAATCATTTTGCAATTTTTTGATTTGAATTTATAAAGAGAAGACTATTTTTATCTGAAATTTTGCTAATGCATCTAGAATCAAATTTTTATCTTGAATAATCTCCTTATAAATATTTAATAGGGCTAATCCATTTAAACGTTTTTCACCTGTGGTATTCCTTAAATAGGTTTTTAACCTTTTAAAAGTTGAAAAAGACATTCCATTATTGCAGATACTAATTGGTAAGGTGCTAAAATAATTATAATGTTTTGATATTAGGCAGGGAATCTAAAGTGCAATTACTTATGGAAAGGGCCTGCAGAGCATATTTTGGTCTAATGAATACTTTATTCTGTCAAGATTTTTATACCAAAATTCGACATCAAAAAGTAACTTATCATATGAGCCTATAAAATAGGGCTGTAAAAATTTCTAAAAAAATCAAACGCGTTCACGTTCAAGTTCACTTTCAAAAAAATAGGAACACGTTCGTTCAAAATTTTATGACAAATTTTTAAAATTTAATTTAATATAAATAAATGTCTTATATTTTTTAACACAATATATTAGCCATGTTAAAAAATAATATAGTTTTATTTTGATTATAGTTATAAATACAATATAAATTCTAGTTTGTTCCCTTATCCGCTTATAAAACACCCTCTCAAATACTTTCATTGCATGTTCCGAGAGTAGCTCTGTAAGACCCCGAATCTAAAGGATCACCTTTTCCCTTGTATATTGGGATAATTATACTTCTTCGCCAGTCCTCGGGAATAGTTCCTTCTGTGACAATTTGATTGGCCAAATTCATTAACCATTCAATCCCTAAATCTTTAGAACCTTTAAATATCTCTAATACCACCATCGTTAGACCCGATGCCTTCCCTTTTTTCATCTTTTTCACTGCTCTTTTTTTTTCGTCCTTGCCAAATTTACACCCTGGACCTTCTACCTTTGCACAACTAACATAATTATCCCATTCATTTTGCTCTCAAAAGTCCTTTTATGTAGATCTTCCATGTGTTCTTAATACCACTACTATCAATAACCATTTTTCCTTCCATATTTTTCAAACATTTAACACTTATCACATACTGTCTCTTTTTTGCCATCTGCTTTGCCATTCGAACCACATTTCCCATTCCTTCAGCGCATTTCATTTCTTTAGCGAACTTCTGTCTTTTTTCTTCTTGCGTCTTCGCTATTAATTTCTTTTCGCCATCTTGTAAATATCGTTATCATTATTTTCATTACTATTATACCATTCTTTGAAGTACCTCCGTTTCTCATCCACAGCTTTTGCTACCTGGTGGTTCTACCACCAAGTCTCCTTATGTCTAGGTTGCCCGTTTGTCTATCCACATACCTCCTCAGCTGTCATAACCCAAGCTTACTTCATGGCTTCCCACTTGTCATTTACCAGATGCTAATGCCACCTCCGCCTCCCTTATCGCCAATGTCATATTGAATTGACGTCTAGCACTCTCCTCCTTCAATTTCAAAACCTTCAGCCTTCGCACAAATTAGTGATCCTGGCACCTTTAAAAATGAGATCTCCTATAACAAATCGATGCTGATTAATACATTCCTCTCCCGGTATCACTTTCACATTTTTTACTATACATCTATCACATCTCCTCAATAACAAATAATTCACTGCACTTTTGGTACTACCCGACCTATAAGTCACAAGCATCTCTGATTCTTTTTTAAACATTGACAGACAATCATATCCTATCATCACTAAAATCTAAAATCCTCTCCTCTTCCAGATTTCTCATCTACTAACTGAACCCTCCATGTACTCCTTCATAACCCTCACTACTCGCTCCCACATGACCATTCAGATCACCAGCCAGGATAATCCCCTCTTCATTTGCCAGTCACGATGTCACCCCCAATAGACTGTCCCAAAATATATCTTTCTCTTCTTCACTTCTTCCAACCTGAGGAACTTATGCCGAGATTATATTATATAGCTTTCTACCAAAATCATCTTGATAACCATTATCTGGTTTCTAGCCTCAGTGGCGTAGCTACGGGGGTGGTTTTCGGGTTTGGACCCCTCCCAGAGCTAAATCTTTTTTCTAGATTATACGTTCAAAAGACTTAAAAGTGACTTTATATTAAATAAATGCCATTAGTATTTATATTTTTCTGGTTTTGATGTTTGTAGAAGGATACTATATTACTATTGAAATTATTCTGGATAGTACTATTATAAAGTCATTGAGAATAATCTACTAAATTATAATAACATATTATTGATGCATTTAAAAAAATATATGTATTATATATTATAGAAGATATGGTTATGATTTGTAAGATTAACCCGGCCGAAGGCCGGGGGAAAGGGCCGAAGGCCCGTTAAAGGGGGCCTGGGGGGCTTCGCCCCCAGGCTTTTATATGTATGGACCCCCTCTAAGAAAAATTCCTAGCTACGCTACTGTCTAGCCTTCTCACTTCGACTACTTTGTCTACCAATTTCTCCGCAACCAATACCCCAACTCCAGCTTACCAATTACTTTCTTGTCAAAAGAATTTATACTTTTCACAAGTCTTGCCAATATCATTCTTGCGCCATTTCCTTTCCATCTGGTCTCCTGTATGCAGCACACATATATATCCCTTCTATGCAATACATCGACCACTTCTCCCGCTCTTCCTATCACACTCCCAACATTCCATGTCGCCACCTTTACTCGATCCCCCGTAAACTGGTTTCTCCACTTATTATCAGATTTTTTTTATGGCCAACATAAGTTTCATTTTCATGAATCGTGGTTCCACCAGGTTTCCCATCATTCTATATATAGGCGGATAAGGAGGCCCACGGGGTACTTTGGGCTGTACCCCACCCATGCTTTGTTGTAACCATATAGAAATTTTGTGGCAAGGTTTTTACAATCGGATCTTTCTGACATCAACCCTTTTAAGTGGTTTTTACACCCCGTCGAGGAGAATGATCCTATTTTAGACCCAAATTACAGGGAACCTTTTAGACTGAGACGTAACCCAAACCCTGAACCCGAATCCTCTCGAACCCTTGATATTTCGCTGAACCCAAACCCTTTTTTAAAATTTAGGATTCAGAGTTCAAGTTTTTTTTTTTTTAAATTTTTTTTTTTTATTTTAAACTTTCATTTTATTTTTTTTAAATTATATGTTAAAAATAATATAATATAAAAAACATGTAATTTACGATTTTTATTTATAAAAGATTTCCTATTTAAAAAGAGTTCATATTTAAAACAATTGTTTTTTATTCAAAAAAATATATTAAATTAAAATAAACATTTTTTTGTTATATTTAAGAGTCGGCCATTTTTCGTACAATTTTAAATTAATTAAAATAAATTTTTTTTAAAAAATGATGTTTCTATTATTTTAATAAATTAATTAAAATAAATTTTTTTTAAAAAATGATGTTTCTATTATTTTAACTAATTTTAATAAGTCATTATTTTTCTGATCTCCGAACCCTTAATCCGAACCGGGTTCAGAGATTTTTCACTGAACCCGAACCCATTTTTTTAAAAGGAGAGTTCTCGTCCCTGCTTTTAGACCTCCATTAGCCTCCAAAAGGCGTTGCCATATATAAAATTCCAATACTTTAAATACAACATCATATAGTTCCCACTCTTGTCCTTCAACAATGTAGTAATAGGTATAGGTTGTGTCTGTGCTTGACATTTGTTGAAATAGGAATAAATTAATGATTGTTTCTTCATATTGACAAATATATATTTGTATAAAATGGAATATAACAAACTAGACAAGTTTTATGCAATGCAAAATAGTTTAAAATTTATTTAAAAAAATATAAAAATAATCAAATACTCTAGATCAATTATTATTTATAATAAATTAAAAACATAAAAATAGTTGTTTTTATATTTCAAGCATTTATCATCAATTTTTTTTTCCTTATTAAATAAATAAATAATTTTAAAAAAAAATTAAAATATTTTTTTTCATTTTTCAATCACCCCCCCCCCCCTTCCATGCCTACGCCACTGATAATAATTATTTATATGTACAGTTACACCTGTCTTATTTCGCTCTTGATAATTCTGGTAACTCCTTAATTTGATCTCATTAATCCAATTCCTAATACTACCATTAGAAAATACTGATAAATTGGACAACTATCTACTTTGAAAAGTGGGCAGATTTTTAATTTATTGTTTATTTGCTTAAGACCATTTGGACATTTGTATTTTTTATTACATTTTTCATTTATATTGTCATATATCTGAAAAATATGAAGAGCCCCCTGAAAATTTTGGATTTTTTTTATACCCGAAAAAGATCATTTTGAAAATTTTAGGTACATTTTGAATATAATTTTTTTTAAAAAATTAAGCTCTCTAGCGATTGTAAAGGCTAGTGAAGCCCCTGCTATTATTGTTTGGGTCACACATTTCCTTATTAGCACATGGAGGGAAGAAAATAATAATATCGAATTTTTGTGAACCACAAGTTGAGGAATTTATCTTGGTCTTAGTCTATAGTGCCGAAGGGAATAGATATATCCTTTTTCATATAAAGTATCTTGTATCTAAGAGACTCTTACTTAGAATAAGAAGCAAATATCAATATATTTTAAAGAATCTATATCTAGATCTCTTATATTTATCTGCCAAGGTTTTAATAAAGTTTTGGCCTAGCAAAAATACATTTTTTAGATCATAAATTACAAAATGTTTAAATAAATATATAGTTGAAAAGATATTTAATAGAGTAATTAAAGAAATTTTTTTTGAAAAGATATTTAATTGAGTAAGTAAATAAATTTATTTTGAGAAATTGTGAAATCGATATATTAAAAATAATGATTTACTAAAATATAATAAATAACACATATTTGAAAGTACTAAATATAGATTCCACTCAGTGTCGGCTAATTAATATAAAAATTTAATAAATTAAGTTAACATTAGATCTTTACTAGTTTCTAATTTTCGCTTTTCTTTCATAAACTAATTTTGTGATGTTTTATCATAACTTTGTAAATTTCACAAAGATTCCCATGGATGTAAGTTATAATGTTCCGTTGTGGATAATTTTGAACATCAATCAGCATCTACTCACTATGTGTGTTTTTGAAGATCGCGGAATATTGAAATTTAGTAGGGAATGATAATTATAAGAGCTTTATCAAATTATCTTTCTCTCTGAAGAAAATGAATAACAATGGTTTGATCACTCCCCATTTTGATTAGCCATTCCAAACAATAATTTTAAAAATGATAAATAAATATTTTTCCCCTATTTGCGAGTAATTTTGTTCAGCCTTTCACAAGGACACTCAAAGCGAAAGCTATAGGTTTTCCAATATCCAGATAATATTTGGAGGTATTTTTGGCGAGAATTAAGAGTTTTGATTGATAATATGGTTAGCAGAGAAGCGTTAATTATGTGTTTTTTTAATCTCTTTTAACTATCATAGGTCATTTTCTTTTAATAAATATAATGAACGTGAATTTCTTCCAAAATCAGGAATGAAGCGGTGGTAATAGGTAAGAGGGAAAATAAATGTCGGCAACTTTATTATATTCTTCGGTGTTGGGGCATTCATCAAAGCGGCTATATGTTTGCTTGAGGTTTGCATGGCGTCAACATCTCTTTTATGTTTTAAATATTCTTTCCCTTAATAACACATTTCTCGCAGTTTAATTTGAAATCATTATTTTTTTACCCTACATGAGTTTAAATTATTCTCAGCGAAATTAATAAAATTTAGATTAATTATGTAACATTATTTATAATAGCAGAAAAAAATCATGCATTAGAAATATTTGCTTTTCACAAACATGTGTTGAAAACTATAATGATTAGATTTCATGGGTTTATCAACAACGTGTGTGTGAAAACCATAATGATTAGATTTCAAATGGTTGTTCAACAATGTGGGTACGAAAACTATCATTACTAGATTTCATTAATTTTTCAACAATGTATATGCGAAAAGATATATATATTTTTTTCAGTTGTTATTTTTAACAACGGATGTGAGCTGTGTGGAGGAGAAGAAAATAAGTAGATATTATTTTTTTCTTTAAAAACTTGAGCGTCCGTATAAGGAAATAAAGGCGCAATAGTTTTTTAAAAAAATAAATATATTTTGGTATATATTTAGTAAAGAATAATTAAAGAATTTTAGATATAAATTAAGCATTTGAAATGGTTGACAAAAGATGTTCAATAGCTAAAGTACGACTACAAGCAAATGGTTCAATGAAGATATGGGTCTAGGCTAATTGCGGGTAAAGGGCTGGTAGAATTTGAATAATTATATAATTATATGGGTACATTTTTATTATGTATAATAAAATTAAGATTTAATTCGATGCGATAACCTTAGATAATTAAGACGAATTTTATATAATTTATTGGCAGAGTTGTTAAAAGATATTTTTTAAATGGATCTAGATACGAATACAATTTTGAAAATTATCTA